ACTACTACTACTACTACTACTACTACTACTACTACTACTACTACTACTATTATTTTGTACCAGTGAACTTGTGAACCTTTTTCTTAAAAATAAATGTGATGTTGAATTCACTTTTTTGACCACAATTTTGGGTGTACTGTTTTGTTTTTGTTTTTACTGATGGGGGGTGGGGGGTGCGGCTTATAGTCCAGTGCGGCTTATAGTCCGAAAAATACGGTATATAGTTTATACTGAATTTCATAAAAACTAGTACAACTGAATGATTCAGGCGTATTTATTTTCTAATTCTTAATATTATGTGGTTTTCAAATTCTTTAAAGGCAATTCTGATGGATTTGAGTGAGAGATCATAGAAAGAAAATGGAAAATTTAAGTAAACAACAGGCTAGCACGAGCTAACATGTTTACTTTTTGTATTAGTAGTATTGATCACATACAAATTTATTTCTGTTGTGAGTTTAAAAAATAAGTTCTGTTATGTTTGGTCACATTTTCAAAGAGCCACTGCAGAGGGACCAAAGAGCCACATGTGGCCCCAGAGCTGCAGGTTGCAGACCCCTGTTCTATCCTGACCCCCTACCTGACCCTAAACTGAGCCTAAACTCAATTTACATCTTAGTCCTAAATTAAACCCGACCCACCAACCAGGGTTTTGTCCCATTAAGAACAGTGGGTCCTCACCAGGCTGTGTGTACCAGGAAAATGGTCAAAAATCCTCCCCACCAGGCAGCAAAAACAAAAACATGTAACGACGGCCCAGCAGGGCCAAGTTGTGTGTGTTTGTATTTATGTGTGTGTACATGTTTATACATATACACATACAGTACATGTGAACAAATACACATAAATACATTATATGCATACATGGGTACAAAATACAAAAATAAATCTACATAACAGTATAAGCTTTTATATTTTAAGGCTCTTTTAAAGCTCACCACAGAAACACATAATTGCAGACCATTCAACTCCTTTATTAACTTCACACCCATAACTGAAACACATTTAGGTTTCACTTTACTTTTCTCTTTAGCATGTTCAACGATTAACCAACCTCATAAATTATATTTACTCTCTCTAAACTTTAAGCATTTCTAAGGAAGACTTTTATTCAATGGTTTATACGTTATTTCTAGTATTTTTTTACATATAAAATGTCCTGAAATTTTAAAGTGTAACTTGATGTGCACAGTTAATTTCCTTTAGCCCTTTAGGATTATGAACATAAAAAAAGAAGCTTTGTTTTTGAGCAGTTAGGAGTCAGAAATTTAAATTGTTTAAATTTAAAACTTCAAATCTGACCCACATGAAAAAGTAGAGCCAGTCTAAGAGCAATGGGCCTCATGCAAGAACATGTTCGTATTCTTATCCTAAATTTCTCTTACTGTTGTTCGTACGAAGGGCTCGTACAAACATGTCAAGTCAGATTCAACAAACTCTTCTATCTTCAGGAAAAGTGTGTAAAAGAGGATCGTAACTGATGAATGCGTATCCAGGTGCTCATGTACGAGGAGAAGTGATTTACATAATTACCACACTAAAAACACCATATAAGGTAACGTTTCCTGCCCCACATACCAGGAAGTGTCCATTCATAAATGACATCGCAAAATAAAAAAGAAGAACTTTACGATTTCGGAGATTGAAGATGGAATATGTTTGATCCATTTAAAGCTTGTGGACCAGATGGTATTTTCCCAGCGCTTCTTCAAAGAGGACTGGATGTACTTCTGGACACAATCACTAGAATATATGTTGCTTGTTTAGCAAACGGTTGTGTACCAGTTGGGTGGAGGACGGCAAAAGTTGTCTTTCTGCCCAAACCTGGCAAAGCAACATATAGAGA